AATTGGAGCAAGCTCCGTGCGTCAGCATGCAGCAGGCGCCATAAAAGGAAGAGGAAGGGAGATCACTCCGTGGCTCTGTCATCGAGATAGAGGTTACGTCACGGTAGGGAGGTAGGGATATTTGAATCTTTTGTTTTTGGGCTACAAAGATGGGTGTAGGTATTGTATATGCATACTAAAGTTATGGTAATTATTACTGAAATGAAAATCTTCATTAAAATTATGAAAATATGAAACTCAAAAATAAAATTCTCTGCATTCATACCACTACCACTGGAAATGCACCCTGTACAACAGTTAGGTCAATATCCACAACGTTAGGGTCATAGCAAAGGGTCAAAGGTTAAGTTATTTTAATGTTTACCAGAGGAATATTTGTTTGATATTTATCATCCATTTGTTGCTTTAGCCACAGGGACAATGCTGATCTAAGTTCATCGCAAATAACAACAAAGCCATGATCAATTGTTTTGTTATTTTATTTCTAGATTTCGATATCTACTGGCACTTTATACCTCTGTCTGTGGGCCATGATGACACTTCTCTGTTCTTAGATGTTTTGACAAGTCATAGTCATAAGGAAATATTTGTAACTGGCAGAATAACTCCAGATGGAAAAATATATATAAAGAACTTGAGGCAGATATATAATGTTGTGTTTCTGATAAACTGTTAACACCATGGCCCACAAATCAACAAATTACATGCCATAAGAAAAACAGTAATTATATTGTACATATAAAAATATCACAGACAGAAGGAAATCGGAAATTTTCTTATCTTACTGCATCTTATTCAACTTTCTCCCCCCTCTCCTCTCCTCTTCCCTTCCCCCCAACTCTGACCTGTCCCGACTCGGCCCTGCCTATTCCCCCCAAACTCTGGCCTGTACCGACTCGGCCCTGCCTATTCCCCCCAAACTCTGACCTGTCCAGACTCGGCCCTGCCTATTCACCCCAGACTCTGACCTGTCCCGACTCAGCCCTGCCTATTCCCCCCAAACTCTAACCTGTCCCGACTCGGCCCGCCTATTCCCCCCAAACTCTGACCTGTCCCGACTCGGCCCTGCCTATTCCCCCCAAACTCTAACCTGTCCCGACTCGGCCCGCCTATTCCCCCCAAACTCTGACCTGTCCAGACTCGGCCCTGCCTATTCACCCCAGACTCTGACCTGTCCCGACTCAGCCCTGCCTATTCCCCCCAAACTCTACCCTGTCCCGACTCGGCCCGCCTATTCCCACCAACCTCTGTCCTGTCCCGAATCGGCCCGCCTTTTCCCCCCAAACTCTGACCTGTCCCGACTCGGCCCCGCCTATTCCCCCTAAACTCTGACCTGTCCCGACTCGGCCCCGCCTATTCCCCCTAAACTCTGACCTGTCCCGACTCGGCCCCGCCTATTCCCCCCAAACTCTGACCTGTCCCAACTCGGCCCTGCCTATTCCCCCCAAACCCTGACCTGTCCCGACTCGGCCCTGCCTATTCACCCCAAACTCTGACCTGTCCCGACTCGGCCGTGCCTATTCCCCCCAAACCCTGACCTGTCCCGACTCGGCCCTGCCTATTCCCCCTAAACTCTGACCTGTCCCGACTCGGCCCCGCCTATTCCCCCTAAACTCTGACCTGTCCCGACTCGGCCCCGCCTATTCCCCCCAAACTCTGACCTGTCCCGACTCGGCCCTGCCTATTTCCCCCTCCTGTATTATTCTATAAATACGGAGGGTTTGTCATGATAATTCATGAATTATGTGAAAAAAATCTATATCTAAATTTACTCGTATAACGTAAGAGGCTGCTGGTCGGCCATTTTTTTTATTGGATATGATTAAGCTGACTGCGACATGACATTTGTCAGAAGGGTTTTGACGTGTTGAACCTCGTAAACTGTTGGAGTGCATCTAAGTATTTCTGTTTAAACTTCTTGATTCTGACTAATACATTTCGATATCAAAGGCAAAAATATCTTAACGACAACCATCTACAACTACTACAACATACATACAATGTATAGGTAAACATGATATTTTTGGAATGTTACAATTTTGGTATTTGAAAACTACAAATATACAATTATTGAAATAAACACCTGGGTACTGTATACCAGGAACACCCCCCCCCCCCTCAAACTTTCGCCCTTTGCGCTAAAGAAATCAATTTTCGCGTAGTGTTAATTTTGCCCGTCCGGAGGGAAAAAAAATGCGAAAGTTCAACTATAGCCAAAATCTCCAGGTAAACAGTATTTTTGTTAAAGTGAAGAGCTACATGGTGCTTCGAAATGTTCAGTGGTCTGTCCAGCTTTATGACCGTGCTTTGGTCAAGACGATCGTTCTGTCTGTACATGCAGAATTGTTTTTTCTAGATCGGCTTCACTTTACTTACAGAAGTAATGCTGACGAGTTGAAGACCAACAGAAAAGTACTGTTACCATGGATACCTAGATTGAAGACAACACTACAAATTTAAAAGAAACATTCCGGTTCAAACGTCTCCTCCACTGTTCTCCCGACACCACAATAGCCAAGTACAGGACCTGTTTATACTTTGCTAATATCCAGTTATTGGAAGTTAAAAAAAAATAAAAAATGTGTCTATTTTATACAAATGCTGTCGGCTGATCACTAGCCTTTCATAAAATCCTGGGGAGAATACTGACCTTGAAGAATGTTTGCCAAAAAAAAAATGTCACAGTAATTATTTATTTTGACAACATAAGAGGACTCACATCACTAACACATAAGTGTTTATTTCAATCCAAACTGTATTATGCATATTTGCAAAGATAACTCTTGAATGTGTAGGAATTCCACTGAAGCTTTCGGTCGATATTTCTACATTACAGGATATTGCTATTTTCATTTTTTTGTGTAGTGACAAAAATACTGGGAGTTACCGTAAAAGAATGCAAGGATTAAGACAGATCTTATATGCCATGTAAATCTCTTAAATTTTTTGAAATACATCATAAATGTACTGGCAAATCCGAAATTGTTGATTATGTTGAACTACTGTTATTCTAGCCAGGGAGGTAACTCTTGGTAAGTCCAACATGTATAGTTCATACATTTTATGATTTTGTCATGCAAGTCCTTAAAAAATAACCAGTTATCATAAGAAACAATGAAACACAAAAACAAACATCTATCCCATAATTCTAATACACATTGTATGTAAACAAGTCCAAAAAACGATAGTTAAAAAGAAACTCATTTTTTTATCTGCAACTACAAAACACTAAACTTTTTGTATATCGTGTCGTTTCACAATGATAAACATCAACTACAGATATTGTTTACCAATGAATAAATATGTAAACTATAGATGGACGGGATGGTTGCTGATAAAACTGTAACCCTAGTCTAATCCTGCTGCTATTTAGTGATGGCTTCTACACAGCGTGGAGTCCAGTCCAAAGTCTCGTCCATAGGCATCATATGGTGTGCAATCTAAAAAATAAATAAAAAAATGGATAACTTAGGGATGTAAACGGGCAAATGATACAATTCATATTGCTGTTAATAATGATTTAACCCGCTTTCAACTTTTAGTGATCGTGTTTAATATTACTGTAAAAGATTAAAGACATATACCTCCAAATACATATTTGATTAAGGATATATGCTACATAATACACTTTACATGTGCTATTTTTGTAATGGAGTTATCTCCCTTACACATGGAGTTATCTCCCTTAAAGCTTTTATTAGCTTTACCTTTTAGAAACAGTTTTGTATTACCTTAGTGTAACCAATACATGTACTATTGTTTCCTTTTCTAAAATGTTTTACCACTGAAAAATTCAAATAAAACAAGAGGCCCAGAGGACATGTATCACTCACCTGTTTCTTTTGTTATTCTAACTAGACAAGAATTTGAAACGCTTCAATGAACTTAAGACATGGTAACCATCACAGATTTCTTACCAACCCAAAGAAGTAAAATATAAACACTATATGTATGAGCTATAAGATTAATATTTGTATGATTTTGGTAAAAATTGATCTGGTCGAATTGAGAAGGAGTCAAATGAAAAATTGCTTGCCCTTGGCCAGGAAGAAGTTGAGAAAAGTTGGAAGTGTCTCCGCAAATCAGATCACAGTTGGCCATCTTTAATAGTGAACTGATATGAAAAAAACGTTTGACCAGGACCATTACCGGAGCTTTTTGTTAAAAACCCAGTCTGTAAAAAATTGTCTCAGTCATTCAAAGACAAAGGTGGACACATACTGGATTTCTTACTTGAAACAACTACAGATTATTTCTTTAAGTTGTTACATCAAAATGCTTCGATTGTGACTTACTTGTTTTTCGTGGGGGTCCAGGGTGATATTATAATCCTCGTGGGACTGGTTTATCTTGCAGTTTTTACTACTGGTACAATCCATGGTCATCTTCACTCGGCTGTTGGACTGTGTAGAAAAAATATGTCAGTTTTTATCACAATGTGTGTTCAAAATTTGATATTCTAAAATGTGAAAAAAAATAAAGAATTTTGTCGGAGACCTCATACCACAATGCTGAGAATTCTTCAGTTGTAAGATTTTAGGATGTTGCCTTTGTAATTATGTATGTGGAGTTACCTACCCTGTTATCCAAGACCACTGTTGACCTTGTGTCATTAGCATATGTATACATGTTGAGGTCACGCATGCCTTTGATCTTCACTCCTTCATCCTAGAAAAAAACGAACACAATGTTTTTTTTGGTTTGTTTGTGTTTTACATATTATTAACAGCTATGGCGAGTAGAAGGTGCATGGTGACTGCCCCAAGTAGGTCACAAACCCGTGACCCAGTGGTGGTAGCAGAATGTCAGACGCCTTAACCACACTTGGCCATGCAGGCCCCTCCCCCCAAAAAAGTACTAACCTTAACATGGTTAGTTCATAATACCTCATCATTAGCAGCTCAGAAAAAACAACCTAAGGATTTTAAACCTTTTGTTTGATCCCAAATAATCAACATTTCTTACGATCGTGATTTTGTCTTACCTGTTCCAGGACTGTCTCAATGATCATGTCATTGTTAATTGTTTCTATTCCTGTACAGGTGAGCCCCACCTCCGCATCATCACACCCTTCCGCAAACACATCCAGTTTGAATGGACAGGCCTGCCAACATAAAGAAAAGTTACTGTTTCCTGTACAATATGTAAAACAAGAGGCTCAGTGGCCTTAATTAATAGCTCACCTGTATTCCTGTGTTCTCATGCTAATGCATGGATTTTGGGATCAAACCAACTTTCTTGTATCATCTAACATGAAATTATGTGACATGGTCAAAAAGTCGACAGTAACATTTGAAATAGTATTAGTCTTAAAGTCTTTCCAAAACTTCGATTAAATCGCTGACAAAATGTGATATTTAATGAATTTATCATAGTAACAGGAAATTTGGCTTGAGCACAGAATCTCAAGTTTGAGCTTAAAAATTGTTTCATGAAAATGAGCCTCGTTTTTCTTTATTACTGAAAGTATGTCAAAAATGTCAAATATGATTCATGCTTATTAAAAGAGTACAATAAATACATGTACAATAGTAACATGCTGAGAGCAGGCCAAAGTTTTAATAACTTTGGCCTACAGTGTGGCCATAATATTTTCATTACACCAGTTAGTTTCCTTGTCCAAGGATATAGTTCCCTTTGTCTTCTCAATGAGCTAATGATTCAAATACTTTTGAATTATTTTCGAACATGTTATTAGACTAATTACGGTATCCGTTGATTTGGTTACCTCGTCGATGAACAGATCCTTGTTGTAGCCCATAGACTGTAAGGTCACCCAGAGGTCACTTATGTCATCATCTACATCGTCAGCCTCCATCTCATTCAGCTTCACAAAACCAGCCTCGGTAATTTCACCATTCTCTAACTCCACAGTTTCTGGAAATAAAATGAAAACTGCAGTGTGAGAATAAAGACTTATTGTTAAGGGTATGAGGGTATGACTTCACTTAGAAATGAGTAGGATGACTTTGATGAGTTTGGTATTGGACTGGTTTGGTTTTATTTTGTTTAATGTCCTATCAATAGCTTAGGTCATTTAAGGACGTGCCTCCACGTGTGTTGTGTATGCGTGCTTGTGTGTGTGTGCAGGAGGCAGGGTATGTTGGTGTATTTGTCCCCTTGTGTGAGCACGGATCTGATGTTGATTTAATAGTGCTATCTCACTGAAATAGCATGCCGAAGGCACCTAGCTCAGCATTCCGACAAGTCACACTATACTGACAACGGGTGAACCAGTTGTTACCATCTGATTAACTGCCTAGTAAGATAGCTTTCTTGTCAGATTAATTTAACACATCTAAGGACACCTTTATTTCTTCCAACATATACCCTAAATATGAAAGTATGCACAATACAAAGTACTGTTTATAAGATAATGACCTTCAACAACGTCCCATTCATCGTCCGTGACCTTGTCTCCACTTGTCCTCATTGTGAACCACGTGAATTCGTCTCGACTCAGACAGCCGTTGTTGTCAAGGTCACAGAGTTCAAAAATCTCCTGCAGGGCTTTCCTACAGGATAAAATGTATATAAGTTATTGACAATCTATATATGTACATTGATGATAGACATAACTGATTTTTACATTGATGCTTGATTCAAAATAACTACATGATGTTATCTATTTATTTGTATAAATAAACAACCCCATTCCCTCACTGAAACTGACATCTATAGGATTATCATGGTATTATATTGGGCTATTTCAAAAGGTAACCATTTACTTTAACTAATTGTAACTGTACATTTTAATCTTTCTACCCATGTATATCAGATCACATCTTGTTCTGGCCGTAACATTTAACTCATTCACCCCTGAAATTTCATAATGAACTATTCCAACCTTTGAATTGGAAGAGTTCAAAAGTGTCTTCAGGGGTGAATGAGTTAAACTGTGAAAGACCTACTGATGACACCTGAACTGTACCTGCATCACCAACAGAAGGTGCGTACTATACTTCATACTTGCCAACTTTTTGGGGGAGATTACGCGTGGTCAGAATTAAAATTATAAACAAAATGTATGTATATACACCAAAGTGAAAAAATAATACTTTTAAATGGCATCTATGGAGTTGTTCTTTCAGATGAAACCAACAGATATTAGAAAATAGGAATAGTTTAGCAAATTCACCGGATAAAAATGTTCAATTTTAGGGTCCAAAATCGGGAGTCTCCCTCCAAAATAGGGAGGGTTGGCAAGTATTCACTACATTTATGCCTGTATGACCTTCACCTCTAAAATTATGTAGTGCACAATTTTCAGTGTAATATCGCTTTGTTGTATATTTTTAAACTATTGAAAACATCTAGATGAAACATGGAGTATATTTGCTAAACCAAAGGTCAAAGTTCAAATAGGTACATGTAGTAGGTTTCAAATGCAATGTTATTGGCCATTATAGTTTTAAAGTGTTAAAGAAAATTATCTTAAAAACCAGGATATTAACTCATTCACCCCTAAAGTCACATTTGAAAGTTACCAAATCAAAGACTGGGCAAGTCCATTTTAGATATGTAGGGGTGTATGAGTAAAGAATAGATTTTATTTTGTTTACAACAGCAAACCTCTTTATTTTTTATTTCAAACACATCTACCAGCATACAATTTTTTATTATCATCAATGTTTTTATTTTTAAAATTTTGAACTTACTTAAATGCTTTGGTTATTGCTGTTTTTCCATCCTTGTCTTTTCGTACCAATGGTGTTTCTGTTGAGGAGTCGGAGTGACGGGCCCTTAGGTGACATCCTGTTGTAAATGGCAATATATTGTAGGTCCCAGCCTTCAGCTCACACATCACACCGTATTTCTGTGAAACCAAACAACCATTGTATACACTGATGCTCATTGCATAAACAAATGCTTAAAAAATAAACAAAAAAGGAAATACAGTATATGATAATATCAAATGATCAGAAGTCATATAACAATTATAATGATTTTCAGAGGTCATAAGATTACAATTTTGAAAGAGTGGACACTGCAAATGAATGGACAAACATGCAATGACGCATGACCCCGTCTAAACCGGAAATCTATAAAAACCCGTTCTTCAACTACTAGTACCTGTCTAACCTGAATGGATTGTGGCGATAGGTTTACACCACTTTTACCTTAAGTCATTAATGATTGATCTATAATGGTATTGAAATATATTGGAAAAAACTCATACAGAGAATTTCATTTTACTCATTATCTGTAGCATAAGAGCCTATGCTCAAAATCTGAGTACGGAGTCTGTACCTTAGTTAGTATTTGAAAAATAAATTTCTCAGACTGCTGAAATTCTCAAAAGAATCCATGTAGCTTTCACATTCAATATTTACCCCTTTGCCATCCCGTTTCTCTGTGAATCCGACCACAGACCTTCCCTCCGAATCTGGCCTCTTTCTGGCGATGAGCAGCATCGTGTCTATTGGGGTGGTGTCCCCTATGACTGGAGAAAGGAGTTCATGTCATTATAATGACGGGAAAACAAAAAGATTACAAAAGAGCTGACGTAAATCAATATCTAAAGCTTTGAAATATGATAAATGCTGAATGCTTCTGTCTCCCTGGTAAAATACTAGCCGTTTACTACCGGCTCGGCTAGGGAGAATGTCTCTTTAGCTCTTTCAATAGATCGTCTGACTAGTAAGCCAGAGGTCCTGGGTTCGACTCCTAGCTGAGGCATTGAAAGAATAATGACTTCTGTTACACTTACTCATTTTTTTTGTGGTGGTTGGTTGAATAGTGATCCAGACTTTACTTTTCTCTGTTAGGTTAAGTCTGTAGGTATGTGTCATCAGGCCGTCATCGTCGTCAATGAAGAAACAGCCCTTACTGCTGGTGTGGGCCCAATCCTGGCAAAGAATGAGTGTACACAGCTACAGTGATTGTCTTACTTAGACCCAAGGGAAAAAGTTGGTTTTACAATAAAAACACATGGCAATACAGCACAATCTTGTTAGGTTGAACGCTTTGGTTTATTATATTCCATATATTTTATTTTTGTTAATTTCTTGTATAATTTGCAATATGAAACGTACCATATATATATTTATAAAACAATCTGCTACCAGCTCCGATTTGGTAAGCTGTGATATCGGGAACCAAAATGGCAGACCATGATGTCCAGTCTGGGCTTAGTACCAGTAAAACACAGGCTCATATCTGGTAATAAGCCCACCCTCTACTTGTGTTTTCTACTATGTTTTCATGCACAGGCCCCCTGGGCTTAATTATCACCATTAAAATACGGTCACCCAAATTTGATCTGTTTAATTATTAAAGAACCTTCATTATGCTTGATGACAAAATACACTAACCGCATTATACTGAGGGGAAACGGGAAAGTTAGAACCAAAGGACTCCACAATATGACCTCTAAAGCAATATTGTAAGATCTCAACAATATAGATACATTTATACCACTGTTTAATTGGAAATTTTACTGCATTCTGATATTTTTGACTTGAATATGATATAGTTGATTCTTTGATTTCATGACTGTGAAATACTGTAATCACTCGATCTTTCTCAGAAATTCCTGAAGAGATATTTTTCAAATTTCACAAGTAGGTTCCTCTTGGTCTGTTTTGGCCAATGTTCCCATTTGAGACTGATTGAAAGAGCAAGATATAGCTGCTGGGTGGCCATCTTGGAATTTTGACAACTAATTTTTATATCATTTTTTCTTACAAAGAACAGTCTCATATTTCACAAGCTGTTTCCCCTTGGTCCCTAGTTGTGCATGTTCAGTTTGGCAATCGATCGCAATAACAAGATAGCTGGTAGGCAGCCACCTTGGACTTTGACAGTTAAAGTTTGTTATTGCAATGTTTCCTAGTTTAATCAGGTCATGCAAAAGCCATATTAACTGGTGACACACAAAAGAAATCTAATTTTAAGGGAGCAAATAGTTAGAAAAATTTGATACAGATTTCATACCCGTTTATTTTTTGGCTCATCAGCGAGGTGACCTAGTTTGCTGGCAGGGACATGCTTGACTGACTGGCCTTTTTTATTTGACCTTGGTGAAGGTCGTGGCATATCATCTGGAATAAAAAAAAAAAATATGATAATATCATTATAGAGATTTCATTGTCAGGAATGTGTTCTATGAAACAGAATATACAGTAAAGAAAGAAATACTTGGACAAAATATTTCGTGTATGTGTTTGTACCACCACTTTCTGTGTTCATTGTTTGTAACTAGAAAATGAAAGGGGAGGGGGAGGGGTGTTAACACTATACAGTCACAGATCTAAGCTAAAGACATTTAAGCACAAGTGTTAAAAGGGTTTTAGCTTAATACAGTATGTATATGAATTATTAACTTAAATTTTCCAAATTAGAATTTCATCAACCCTAAAACTAAAATAATTTAATATTTTCACAATTTCTGCCATAGACATTCCGTTCCATTCATAAACTTGTAAATAAAGTTATTTAAAACGATTACAAAGTTATTTCAAATGAACATTTTGTGTTAATTTTTGCTTTAATCTATCATGCTTTGAAAATTTCGGTTCAAATTTCAAAACAAAAGTTCATCAGGCGATGACCCTCCTCTACAATATTGCAAGATCCTAACATAATTAATATAATTAGCATTTGACCAGAATATCTTTTGATTTTGATTCAATAATTAAAATGAGAAATACACAATATTTTTTGAAAACTGCTATTAAAGAGTACCACATAAAACAAAAGTTCCCATCAATATGTAAAAAAAAGAAAAAAACATGATGAAATTCAGGGATATTATTTCTGTGTGTTGTCTTCAGATGTCATATGACTTTGAGAATATAAACATGTAACTATCAATCAACCACTCAAAACAATGTATGATGTATATATACTCTCTCAGCTATCTAAAGACAATCAAGCACATTAACTCTTTCACCCCTACATATTTAAACTAGACTTGCCCAGACTTTGATTTGGTAAGGTTCAAATGTGACTTTAGGGGTGAATGGGTTAAATGGTACCTGTAAGATGCTATATTGTTGCTCCTATCACTAATCTATTTGTCTAGCCCTATACACTGAAGATTTGAAACTGCAGAAAGTTAGCCATGCAATGCCCATAACAATTCCTGTGTTACTGAACCACCCTGTCCCACAACTCCTGTGTTACTGAACCACCCTGTCCCACAACTTCTGTGTTACTGAACCACCCTGTTCCACAACTCCTTTGTTACTGAACCACCCTGTCCCACAACTCCTGTGTTACTGAACCACCCTGTCCCACAACTGCTGTGTTACTGAACCACCCTGTCCCACAACGCCTGTGTTACTGAACCACTCTGTCCCACAACTCCTTTGTTACTGAACCACCCTGTCCCACAACTGCTGCATTACTGAACCACCCTGTCCCACAACTGCTGTGTTACTGAACCCCCCTGTCCCACAACTGCTGTGTTACTGAACCATCCTGTCCCACAACTTCTGTGTTACTGAACCACCCTGCTATCTCACAACTCCTCTGTTACTGAACCACCCTGTCCCACAACTCCTGTGTTACTGACCCATCCTGTCCCACAACTTCTGTGTTACTGAACCACCCTGCTATCTCACAACTCCTCTGTTACTGAACCACCCTGTCCCACAACTCCTGTGTTACTGAACCACCCTGCTGATCCACAACTCCTGTGTTACTGAATCACCCTGTCCCACAACTTCTGTGTTACTGAACCACCCTGTCCCATAACTGCTGTTTTACTGAACCACCCTGTCCCACAACTCCTGTGTTACTGAACCACCCTGTCCCACAACTCCTGTGTTACTGAACCACCCTGCTATCCCACAACTCCTGTGTCACTGAACCACCCTGTCCCACAACTGCTGTGTTACTGAACCACCCTGTCCCACAACTGCTGTGTTACTGAACCACTCTTTCACACAACTCCTGTGTCACTGAACCACCCTGTCCCACAACTCCTGTGTTACTGAACCATAATGTCCCACAACTGCTGTGTTACTGAATCACCCTGTCCCACAACTTCTGTGTTACTGAACCACCCTGTCCCACAACGCCTGTGTTACTGAACCACCCTGCTATCTCCCAACTCCTGTGTTACTGAACCACCCTTCTGTCCCACAACTGCTGTGTTACTGAACCGCCCTGCTATCCCACAACTCCTGTGTTACTGAACCCCCCTGTCCCACAATTCCTGTGTTACTGAACCATAATGTCCCACAACTGCTGTGTTACTGAACCACCCTGCTATCCCACAACTCCGGTGTCACTGAACCACCCTGTCCCACAACTGCTGAGTTACTGAACCACCCTGTCCCACAACGCCTGTGTTACTGAACCACCCTGCTATCTCCCAACTCCTGTGTTACTGAACCACCCTTCTATCTCACAACTCCTGTGTTACTGAACCCCCCTGCTGTCCCACAACTGCTGTGTTACTGAACCTCTCTTTCACACAACTCCTGTGTCACTGAACCACCCCGTCACACAACTCCTGTGTTACTGAACCACCCTGCTATCTCCCAACTCCTGTGTTACTGAACCACCCTTCTATCTCACAACTCCTGTGTTACTGAACCACCCTGCTATCCCACAACTGCTGTGTTACTGAACCACCCTGCTATCCCACAACTCCTGTGTTACTAAACCACCCTGTCACACAACTCCTGTGTCACTGAACCACCCTGTCACACAACTCCTGTGTTACTGAACCACCCTGTCCCACAACTGCTGTGTTACTGAACCACTCTGTCCCACAACTCCTGTGTCACTGCACCACCCTGTCCCACAACTCCTGTGTTACTGAACCACCCTGTCCCACAACTCCTGTGTTACTGAACCACCCTGTCCCACAACTCCTGTGTTACTGAACCATCCTGTCCCACAACTTCTGTGTTACTGAACCACCCTGCTATCTCACAACTCCTGTGTTACTGAACCACCCTGTCCCACAACGCCTGTGTTACTGAACCACCTTGCTGTCCCACAACTCCTGTGTTACTGAACCACCCTGTCCCACAACTCCTGTGTTACTGAACCACCCTGTCCCACAACT